AATAATAATAATAATAATAATGATAATGATAATGATAATGATAATGATAATGATAATGATAATGATGATAATAATAATAATAATAATAATAATAATAATAATAATAATAATAATAATAATACCACCTGTCTCTTATTCTCATCTTGATGTGTATAAGAGACGGATACAAATTCGATGAGGTTATTATTAGCCAGATTGAAGTTGCCCATTTAGAATTAAATAACTTTAGATCAATAAATTTGAAATTCATAGAAAAATTAACAGGTCTATGATATAATTTAGAAATTTAAAGCAAAATATTCATATAAAAGTGGGGTGTTATTATTGATGATGTGTTAAAACATGTTTTTAAGGATTTGGAATCAGAAGTAAAAGGTTTCCTACACCAATAAAGATTAAAGAGGTTGTATGACGATACTAGCATATGAAAATCAAAGTTAATTTGAGAAACACCCCCTTTACGTTAAATTGCCGCTACGGGAAAACGAAAAGGTAATTTGAGTCTCAAAACTTCAGGTTTTTCTATTCACAAGGACGGACGGTGCAAAAAAATAAAAAAAATCTATGATTGTAACGTTGTAATGCATTTGTTGAGAGGCCACACCCCTTAACCTCAAACAACCGCTACAGGAAATTTAAAACGAATGAATTGGCAAGTCTCAAAATTTCAGGTTTTTTAATTAACATAGATATCTATATCACTGAGTGCAAAATAAAAGTGCATCTTGAAGAACCATGCCCCTTTTTTGAGGAGTCAATATCTGTTGGTTTTTTATACAGTGGATAATATTTATGGATTTTCATCAAAATCTGAAACGGTCATGGAGGGATTTTGTTTTTTAAATCTGGTTGATTTGACATGGAATGACACTACAATAGGTCAAAGGTCGGAATGTACCATTTCCGGTCACTATTTGAATATAAACATGAATCTCCTGAACAATTTGCACTCAATTGTGAGTCTCTGTGACCAGTAGTTACCGAAATACGACAATACAAGGTCAAAGGTCAAACATTCAAAAATCGCATTTCCCGCCATATATATATATATATATATATATATATATATATATATATATATCGTCGCTCACATCAGGAACTAACACAATCGAAGTAATGAAATCAAGAAAGCGCATCAAAATACGCGCTGTTCTTAAGGACTTTTTTTGTGGTAAAGAATACAAAATTGTTTGACAACCAATACGCTCTCGTTTTGACGCGCTACTGTGATTTCACAAACTAACACAATCTATTCCCTTAGTCCTTTCTTTTTCCAACGTTCGTCTCCGTGTTTTCTTTGGTCTTCCCTTGTCTTCGCTTTCCTACCGCTGTCCATGTCAAACCAATGTTGTCCTTCTGGTTGTTTAATGTTTCATTTCTAGGTAAATGTAATTGCTTACCATAATTACAAGATTAGTCTACCCACTAAAATATCAAATGAACTCATCAAAATATTTAGCCTACTATGCCCAACTTCTCGAAAATAGAAGTAAAAACCAACCCATTAATCGCGTTTTCACGTTAAATTTCTGTACTAAAATTTAGAAATAAACGGAACATGTAATACATGTATACAAGCCATCATAAAATTCTCTCACTTCAGAAAATTCAGCCTTAAATTCACGATCCGAGAGCATTGGGCATGCATTATCAGCTGAATAGGAACGACAGAGCACTCGTAAATTGTACTGTATCATCATTAGTTGGGGAGAACTTAGTAATTTTTTTGTCTTATTGATGGATTTGTAAGAAATCAGACAATGCACATACAGTTCGAGACATGGGAGGTTCGGGACCTGAAAATTTGGAGTGGTGTCGGGGTTGGTCTCCAATTACAGAGCCAGCTTTGTGTTAAAATTTTAGGGATTGTTATTTTGGTCTTTGCAAAAGTATCGAATTAGAGGGGTCCTGGAATTAAAGGTGTCTCGAATTGCAGAGTGCACTGTATTTCTGATATTTCACGATCAATTTTTAAACTCGCAGCCCATTTTTTGGATCGCGATCGTTTTTGGAAAGTGGTCGTGGGTTACCAGGATACTATATATTTTGCGAGTGTACACAAAAAATATTAATCATTGGCGGTTTTAAAATTGTTTCAGATACTTCTTTCTTCTTCCTTTCCAGCCATTTTGGTTTTGTAGCAGATTTGGGACATACCGTGGCAAATAATTAATTGTCGGAATATTTTTAAGCTAAGAATACGCCTACGATTACAGAATATTTCGTTTTGTTTTCGAACGACGCTCTAAATTGTATGGCTCCATGGCGTGTCACGCTGCATTTAAGCAGCCAACGCGGCAAGCAAGTGAGCCCGTGCGGTCTCAGAGGTAGTCTACAAATATGCAAGATATGATGGCACGTAAATTGTGAGCAATTGCAGGAAACACTAACCAACAATTTTCACCTCTAAACCTAAAAAAACCTACAAAACACTGAGGGACTTGCTGGCCGTTTGGCTTTTTTTTTTCTTCAAAGAAATTAAAGTAGAAATTATATTTGTTATGCCTATTTTTGAAGGGGCACCTAATAGCCCGGACCTCATCCCTACGCCGTTGTTTGCTGTGTAGTAGTACAACACACTGTAAATAGGCCTAGGTCATTATTTTTATTTTTTTTTTCTTGGTTTCCTTTTTTGCGCTGCTAGTCGTCGTTACGACTGCTTTTGCGGACAATATTGAGACCCTGCTCCTGTAATTCTTCACTGTTCTGGTTCTTGAGATTCTCCATGGGTAACACAGGAAAGGTCGAAATAAAGTCGAATGATAGAATAGAATAGGTTTAAAAGTAAAGTAAGTGGAATTATAACACACCCCAAAAGAAGGCGAGACAATATTATTCTCAGTGAGTTGTTTTGGATTGGTAAAGAATTACTGCTTTGGAATTTTAAGTGGCTCCTTTAGAATAACGGCGCATCAATGTACATCTGTTGAGTTCTGTAAGAATAATTATATGTTCTATTCTCACATTTATTAGATAAACATAACATAACATTAAGTAAATATATAGGAAAAAAAACATAACAATACTCTAGCGTGGCGACTATGTGAAATGTCTGCTTTTGTTCCTAACAATTTTAACTTGGTATCGTATCGAACTCGAGTCGAGTAAATCCAAGACGGCCAGAGTGCAGTTTCATGCAATGTTTCGTACGGGGGAGAATCGCTCTGGGACGATGTATCAAAATACAGGTACCGGCAATGGTCATTTTGAATGAAATCTGTTTGGTGTTTATTTCAGCTGAAGCAATACTGTACAATCATCACTGCTACAAATTTATCAGTGTTCCTACAACGTGGAACAACGCGAAGGCAATGTGTGAGAGTTTCTCTTCACAGTTACTTACGATAAACACTGAAGAAGAGCTAGCTTATCTCACTACCATCGCATCAACTTTCAATCCATTCCTATCACCATGGACAGGGATGAATGACATTGCAGAGGAAGGACATCCAGTATGGCTGACAAAGGCACAACCACTTTACAACGATTTTACTGATAATGACGATCCAGAAAATAGAGATTGCTTTTACATTGACACGGATGGTGAAATGGGTTACAGAAGTTGCGATGACGAGTTTGGATACGTGTGCGAAGGTAAGAACAGGTAAAAATTACAGG